CCTTCTAACAAATTAATTTTTAACTGGAGCAAAAACTACTTTTTTGAAATATAATTAACCCACAATCTCTAATTACCTTAAATGAGACTCTGGAAGGTGAATGTTTTAAGAACACTCCGCTTTAGGAAATTATTATAAATTTCCAGAATAATACCTATATTAGATACAAGAAATACTGACGGAAATTATAATGTTCATGTGGAATTACTTTTAATGTGAAAGCCGCATGTTGTCGTAAAAAATGCTTTACGCTTTTAAAATAAATTATTCTCTACTAAAACATGAATCATTGAATCCATAAAAAATTTTTAAAAAAACATACGCAATTAAATTGAAGTAGGTGTATTTCTTTATTACAACGCACTGTTTCACTACAGCGTTGTGTGCACTAGCACTAAAATTAATGAGAATTATGTAAGAGTATTCAAAACAAAAGCAGTTTTCGACAAATTCATAGCAGTCAATCACAATCAGCAGATTTTATACATTATTACTGATGCAACAAATCCGTGATGAAAGAACAAAAGCAATTCGTCGGTGTAAAGAGTAAACATCAGCATTTCCTTCAAACGCGTTTTATTACTAAATACAATGTGAGCTCTCTTCCTCGTCAGCAATATTACGCTTAATTGTTTTCGTTTCTGTAGGTAGGCAATGTTCTTCACAATTTATTGCAAATGTTCTTAAATTGAATACGTATTGCGTAAAAAATATTAAACTCTGTTTGGTTTCAACCTATTCTTTTTCTACGTACATTATCTAAAAACATCGATGATCTATTTAATTTTATATACCACTAAATAAAATTACTGGAAACAAAATATTACAATAAAATATCAAGAAACAAAAATATAATACTTTTAAAAATTTCAACAAGAAATTCTACAAGCAGCCAGGCCGGAATGACCTGGCTGCTGTAACTTCAAGGACCTGAGTTTGGTAACTGAGTAGTATGTGAATGTTTGGGTGGGTGGAATGGCTGATGGAATACGAAAATCGGTACTGAATATAATAATACATATTATAATACACAAAAAGTAATGAGGACCCACAGTGGTGGGCTGATGTATTCACAAGTTTACTATCTTTATAACATTTTCCACGTATTATGGATCTGCTGCACACAAGTCAGAGAGATTCTCTTCCCCCCCCCCCTTACTGCCCATCTCGCTCAACATAGATATGCAGTTTACGTTTCTATCTTGCAAATTTCCATTTCTATTTTGTAGCTCTGTTCTTCACAACCTCATGGGAAATAAATTCAAAATATTCCCTAAAAAGTAATTTTCAAGTAGCAAAGACCTAAGACATACTCAATTGCAGATAAACTTGTTCCATGGCGAACTATACTCTTCACTGTTTCAATAAAAATCAAAAAGACTGTTTTGAGTTTGAATGCACAGAATCACGATCGTAAAGATGATCTACCGTAAACATATTTGAAAAGATATGTAATCCAGTGCCCAGAACGAATCTTGTAAAGAATTGAAATTGAAGAGAAGTAGTTTCTGCAACCTTTCGTATCTATATAATTAATTTCCAGTTCACGCCGAAATTGAAAGAAAACTCTTTATCTCCGGCCATGTGCAAGGGCATCTCTGATTTTGTTATATACTCAGGAACTGAAGAAAAATGTAATAATATTTATACTTCTAATTTCCACAGCACGCTGAAATTACGAAAGAAGTCTTCAGTCATTAAAGAGTTGTCTACGGTTTCGTTAGACACCCCGGAGCTCTGAAACAATACAAAAGCATCTGTATTATTAATTATCAATGTGCGCATAAATTAACAAGAATAAGCCATCTTCCGGTCATAGAGTTTAAGGTAAATTGTATGTGTAGGAACTCGAAAAAAATGTTTAAAAAAATAATTCATTTTTTTTTAATTTAACGTAAATTATTTTCCGCAGCATTTTTGGTTGCTGTAGGTCACTAGTATTTATCATTACTATTAATGTCAATTCGTCACTAAATATATTTGGTGTCGGTTATATATAAAATCTACTCTAGATTTCAACCAGGTTCCTAAAGGATCAATGAAATGGCTGAGGATGTCTTGGCTTGTGCAAAAAATTAGGGTTTACCAACACCTCTCAATATTTTGAACAACCTTAGTGTTTGAAAATTTTCTTTGTGCGTTTTGAAGAACATGCTAGAAATCTGAGCTGTCGGCACAATCTGTGTTTTACAACCCTCAGTACACTGTACTCGATTTCCCATCTCTTGTATTGAAGACTTGTCTTTGCCTTCTTGGTTACAACATTCTGAGCATACGGCACAACTTCATCAACAAGCACACACGATTTTCTCTCCGAATTTCGTATAACAATACACGCTTACTTGCAGCTATCGCACCATCGCTATAGAGTTGTTGACCGTGCATTATTTCTCACGGTTCAATGGAAGTCACAGTTATTGCTGGGTGTTCGTAGTATTGAGAGCGCATATTTGAAAACTTTCAGGGCGGTGCCGATCAACCAGTGGAGGTCCTATCGTGCCTTTTCCTTTTCGGAACTTTACTGGAATTGGACAAGATTAGACGATATGGTCAATGGTTTCTACCTCTTCTTGGCAAATACATTGGTCTTATTGGGCAATTTTGAAATCCGCTTAATGTTAAAGTTTTCAGTGTCTGATCTTACGGAGCTGTTACCACGGCTTCCGATTCTAAATTCTTTTTCCTTTTTTAAGTCACATACATTGGTGGTAACAAAATATAGAATTTACTAATAAAAATACAAACCATAATTTGAAAAAAATACACTATGTAAACAATGTAATAAAAGATAATCTACAAATATATGAAGAAAACATCGTGAAAAAAATATTATTAGAAAGGATAAATACGCATAAACTAATACATACGTCTAATGTAACAACACATCGTAAAATGTTCATTTTGAAGAAAAATCAGACTACATGGCTCAAGAGTTTATTCTCAGAGCTTATTTTCTTGAAAACGTCTTAAATTAAGAAAATCACTTCACTTAACTTTTGCTTGCTTGTAAACTCCTAACAAAACACCACTACTTAGTAAGGTTTATTTATTTTCAAAACATTTTAGGCTATAAATGTACATTACCAAACAATGGCAAATGTTAAATTCCATTATTATCAACTGCTCTTACTACATCAGACGATATTATTTTTTTTTATTGCGGGAGGGTATTTTAGATCCCCCTCTCCCCAACTCTTCCCGCCTGATTGGCAATGCAAGACCTCTTCCCCAACATTTAAAGGCCTTCTTGTTATCTGCGAGTTGACTTTCATGTATTGCGTACAAATTAAAAGTTATATCTCTGTTCGTTAAACAAGCAACAAGAATTAGATTCAGAAATGCAGCGAAAGTGAACTTTTTACGTACCGCCCCGTCAGTCAATCCCGCTTGATAATCAACCTCCATATGTAGAAGTCTCGCCGCCCACGCGCCTCGCGGCAAGAGCGGGCGGCCGAGTGGTGAGGAGTGAAAGTTGAACCTGTCCGGAACAGGCAGGAGGAGAAAACCTCACCATCACGATCGCGAGCCATGAAGAAATCGTTTAATTATGGTAGCGGACAGCCGCGGAGGTTTATTTACCCCACCCAACCCCTCCCCTCCCTCCGTCCGCCCCTCGCCCTCCCGTTTTTCCTCCTCCCTCCGGTCTCACCGCCTCGCCATGGCCCTGATAAACTAACATCCACGCCACCACGCACAGAAGTGGTTCGGATCTTGCGGGGGAATTTCTCTCTAGATTAGTAAGGCGGTTCCGCTATTCATTTCTTCCGCCGGCCGACTTGCGCTAGCCTTCGCGCCGCTCCGCTCCGCTCCGCTCCGTTCTGCTGCTGCTGCTGCTGAGATGTGTGGGCTGACCCGGTCACGCTGGCACTACGGTGATTCAGGCCCGAAGGAGGCTCCGATCTGAAACCACGAGATTTATTAAGTAACAAAATATTTGATGTAGTGATAGAATAATGACGGAATTAAAAGAAGTATGCGTGTATGTACTTGGTGAGGCAGCCCGTGGTCGGGCTCAGACCTACCGGCGACGTCCCTGCCTGATGACCATGGGTTAAGGGGGTCCGTGTGGTGACCACGTAGACATGCCAACACTGTATTCCGGTCTGCTAAACCTGAGAAGTATTTTTTTATCGTCACGCAGCAACTTATACTGGGACATTGCAAGGAAAACGCACTATACAATCTTGCCTGGCCTGGAATCGAACCCGGGGCCGCATAGAGAAAAGTGAGTACGCTGACCAAGAGGAAGCCACGAGACTGTCGAAAGAAGTAGTTCTCTAAAGTTAAGAGAGCTGAAAATCACTGACAACTCGTCGGGAAACAATGTGAATAAGAGACAAGCAAGATTCAGAACAAGCCAAAACACAATCTTCATCCTATCATTATTTCCAACAATTACAATTTTCTACAAGTACCTCCAAAATCAAAATATCCGCTTCAGAATCACAGAGCCTTATTATCATTCCAGATCAACCGGGAAATATCAATTTTGGAAAAAAAATCGTCTAAATAGTTTGAGTGGTAGCTTCGTTCACAGACGTATGGATGGGCAGACGATCGAACGGACGGACGGACGGACAGGCAGACATTTTGCCGTCAATCGACTTTAGGTATCAAGGACCCACAAAACGAGCATCCTGACAGCACAACGTGTTAGATAATGTTTTTTATTTAACACTGGAACAATATTTACCAACTTTTTCGTTATCAAGGCCTGACAGAGCGTTTCTATTGAAAAGTCACCGATATGCACCGAACGATTACCACACTTTCTCATTATTACGTGAGCAGCAAGGCGAGAAAGTGAACATTAGGTGCATTAGAGCAGGAAACGACGACCTTCGTGAAATTTAAATGCAAAGATGAAGTGAGACGAGGATTGAAGTTTCTGCAGTATATCCTGCATTATAGCACAAAATAATAAGAGGTATTTCAATAATTTTAATGGGCGAAGGAAAAGAATATTTTAATTGAATCTTCATATATTTTTTTTCTTTAAGAAAGTGAAATTCATCTAAGAGAAAGTGTTTTACGACCAGAATTTCAATTAAAAAGTGAAAGTATGGTTAAAATGAATTAAAGATCTAATCTAGTAAAAGAAATCTGTCTTAAAGAATTAACAATTGAAATACAAAGCTTCTGTATATAGATGCTCTATTTGTCAATTCATCTTGTATTCTAAAAGTCTTACTCTTACTGATGAAATAAAGCGAGCAAACTTCACCACGAGAATAAATTGGTTTATATATCTTCCAGAATTGTAGCATTGGCATCTCATGTTTCTTGGTCTCATAGAATTTCTACGTCGTGGACAAAATGTATGGAAATAAAGAATTTTGGTGTGAAAGGCGCGAAGTGAAATATTTCATAATTACTCTTTGAACAAATCTCACAATTAATGCAACACATTCCAGGGATTTCGCCTTATTTTCAGCTGTTTACATTCAAATTAATATTGAAATATTTACATGTAAGAGAAAAATGATTTCCAGTTTTGAAAGATTGATCAATACTTGAATTTTCTGGGCTAGATTCTGCGCTAATGCGCTGAACTATAATGCATGATCATTTCATTGCAGCATAATTATTGAAGTGTCGAATCTTCCCTGATGTTTTAGAGAAAACGTGGAACATTCTATTACACAAATTAACTCTGGACGACATGGTTTGTCAGACAAGACTTCTCCAATTATTTGCTTCATTTTCTAGTGTTGACATCTAGTTATTGTAGAACATTTCCTAAAGTGCATTGGAAGATAGTTTGAAAAAAGCTTTTAGAAGAATCTTTGTGCAAATTATTGCATCTTTTGCACCGTTTGTACATATTTTAACTGATTTATATTGCTGTATCTTATAAAGTATTCATGAAATATTTTTACAAAAGACTTTTCGCCTTCCTTGACGTTGTTTTAATTGAACGTAACGAATCAACCCTGTAATTAATTTGTGTGCGGTTTTAACAAATTTTATCCAAAAAATAATGAATAACGGTGTATGGAATATACTGACTGCCAAGCCCTTTTGAGAGCTCAGTTGGAGGAAACTATTTTTGATATTGCACATCTAATAAACTTTGCTGCCTGCTAACAAACTTTGTTTTCTTGCTCAGTAATCCTATGCGTGTCATTTTCCATACATAACAATAACTGTGATATTTCTTTACTAGTAATTGCACCACATATTCCAATGGTCTCCCGTATTACAATAAGTAAAAGCAATTTTCTTATGTGATGCTAATCGAATTCATTTACGACTGCAATCAGCCTGTCGCAGTACATGGCTGATATCACTTAAGTAACACGAAGTATCTATCATTCTCAATCTCTTCCAGAATATCTAAACCTTTTTTAACGTGGTACTTTTTTGTCACGTCGCAGATGTTTGCGACATAGTTATTATAAAAAATGTTTGACCTCCGTCTTTTTCTTTTACTTTATTTTCGTCCAGACATGATTACATTTTATAGCCCTCGCGTGTATTAAATGATGGTAGTGTAATTGCCATAAGGTCATGGAAGTAGTTGCAATTTCAGTGCCACACTCGCATACTAAATCCAACAGCAAAGTCTTGATATATGATTGTAGCAACTGCATTCCACTGCACCAACTGCGTTGACCTAAAACTACAATTATACTCAATTAAGTTGCAATTTTCTTTCCTAATGTGGCATGACAGTTTGAAAGGCCTTTAAATGCTTAAAGAAACGATTTCATTTACTCTTATGATTCCTGTTTAGGACAGTTGCTTCTTGTTTACGACAGTTATGATGACTATGATGTACGTGATTACATATGCAATTTTGTCATTATCTGAAAGGGTTACGTGTTAATAAATTATCTCGCGTATAAATCCTTAATACACTGCAAATTTAACTTTTCCAAACATGTAAGTATTTACTTAAAGGAAAGTTTGGTAAGTTGGTGATTTGTTGCGCTGTTTCATGAGCAATATGGTAGTAGATGGTGAACAACCTGAAGTCAAGAAAGTGAAATTGAGTAATGGTACTCATGAAATTTGGGAGTGTTGGGAAAATATGGTGGCAATAGTGAATGACTTGGAAAGTTCCAAGTCATGTATGCAAAATAGTTTGCTGCAAAAAAAAGAGAAAATATTATGTATACGAGAAAGTAAAGACACCGAAAAATTCAATAAACGAACTTCAAAAGAATCGCGTCTAGAGTTATTATTTACTGGAGACCAGTGGTAAAGCTCGCTTTGAGTATGTCTGCCTACAACCTTAAGATGTATATCTTATGTAGACTAATGTGCAATGCTCTTTTGAATTAACCTTCAAAAATATTTCAGAAATCATGTCTGTTAATGTGTTAAATGCGCTGTTTCTGATAAATGCGTCCATAAACAATGAAAGAATTTAACTGTTCTATGGACATAATTTTCTCCGAAATATTAATGTTTACTTATTAACTTAAATTTTATATTTAATTTATTTAGTTCAAT